CTATGCACAATCAGCTTGTAACACTCCAAAGAGAAAGGAAAACTTGAAATTGCATCATATGACCCCTTTAATTATTTTTACTTCTACACTGTTAAAAAAAAAAATACTAGTAATTTCTGAGTGAAAATTGTATCTACACCATTTATTTTCTTCAGTGAACAGTGTTGGATATGCATTTCCTATTGAGTGAAACTGTGAATGATTAATATGTAATGCTATCTGTTAGAATTATCATTACTCTTTGGAACACTGCTTGTCCAATCAAATTTGTGGGCTAACTAGAGATAAGATAATACATTGATATGTAATATAACAGTCTACAATAGTCCGAGGTGTAATCTCATGTGGCTTTTTATTTCTCATATTCTAACATTATTTTATGCCTTCATAAAATACAAAACTATTTTTTTTTCTTATAAGATACGATTGTTACAATTACAATATTCCTGTAGGCCCTTGATCCTCTTGGACCAAGACCTATATATTTGGAACTAATTTTATATATTTGTAAATTCATGAATACCGCATCAGAGTATTGAAAGAGGTCCATAGGCTAACATACATTTTTTTTTCTTTGTTTAGTTTTTAAGCAGAAATCATGACTGTTCAGATATAGTTATCCAAGCTTTTTGAGTTATGATGATTTCTAATGAAACTGAGTTCGAGAAACCTAATCATTTGTATCAGAAACACAAATTATTAAGATTATTACTACATATAAATAAATAAGTTTGTGTTGTGGCTCTGAAACCAATAAATAGCTAACATAGCACATGCCAAAAGTACATGAACTAGCATGTAATTTTGTTTATTACTGGCAGCGGCACAATCTTTTCCCATACAACTATTCATGTAGCCACCCACAACCTAACCACAGCAATACTCTTTAGCACAACGCTAACCACAACACACTCAGCATAACAGAAACTCTTTTAAATGTCAAACATAACAGCGTTAAACTCACTAAAACACTTAAAATAACACTTGATTTCAAGATTTAAGCTCTCTGGGTCGAGCTAAACCTCTGAGAGTCAAAAAAAGTCACACAACTAGTTTCACCCGTTTTGTTTAAACTTTTATTTAAAACATTTTTCGCCACCCACAACCTAACCACAGCAATACTCTTTAGCACAACGCTAACCACAACACACTCAGCATAACAGAAACTCTTTTAAATGTCAAACATAACAGCGTTAAACTCACTAAAACACTTAAAATAACACTTGATTTCAAGATTTAAGCTCTCTGGGTCGAGCTAAACCTCTGAGAGTCAAAAAAAGTCACAACTAGTTTCACCTGTTTTGTTTAAACTTTTATTTAAAACATTTTTCGCCAGACACGATGCCTATTGTGCAGTACTGAGACATTAAAAAAAAAAAATGACACGTTTTCCCATTGAAAGAAACATTCTTTGATATCAGCTGCAGCCAATGCTGAGAATGCCGACCCGTGCCACTCGTCAACTAACAGAACACAGAGGTATGAACACATTCTACAGTATTGGACTGGCGTTTTTTATTCAATAACTTCTTTTTTCCAAACATGTACACAGAAATTTCAATATACAGTGTGTATGTGTGTGTGTATATATATATATATATATATATATATATATATATATATATATATATATATAT